ATATAATTAATTAACCAAATTAATTAATTATTAATCCAATTAATAATTAATAAATATATATATACATAAATAATTAACACTTAATTATTTATTATAAAATTAGAATCATATTCTAAAACATTTCTCTCATATAACCTATAGTTTTAATGTACATCTTATGCACATTATTTTTAACCTATAGTTTTAATATGAATCTCATTCATATTAATTTTATTTGAATCTCATTCAAATAATATCTCTCATAATATATAGTTTTAATTTACAATTAACTATATATATTATAATGTATAAATATACATATAATCCCTTAAGTAATTTGAACAATTCAAATTCTTCCAAAAAATTTGATCCTCGTTTTACCCGTTATGAGCTAGCAAGGGGACCTAATGGACCTACAGATCCGAAGCTCCAACGATGCAAGATTAATCGGTCAAACTTATTGACCGAGTTAATCTAGATTCGTTAACTACGAGTCATTCCACTAAAGACCCGCAGTTGCACTCTTCTCACTGTAGAATGTTTTCGTGTCCATGGATATACGACCACTAATGACGAGTCAATCCTTCACGAGTGTTCGTAACTCAAGTTRGGTCAAATTACCGTTTTACCCCTAAGTTACATCTTACTCCTTAAACATCACTGCTCCTCTAATGAACAACCCGGTTATGGTCCAACCAATACTCGGAAGTCCCTCTCGGCCAATGAGAGGGTGGGGCCCCTTGTTCAAGTCCCAGAGTCAGCATTTAAGGGAACATTCATCTACTCCCCTAAAGTCGGGGAGGAGTGAATTCCATCTTGTAAAGTTATGTTCCCAGCTCCCCACTCGGTCTCATCCCCAAAATGGTAGGAATATTGAGTCGGCGACTCGAGCCACGCTCACCCATACAGATCAAAGGACGAGCCCTCACGGGCAGGAGTCCATAACTCACTCAGGATTGAGAATGAGCTGCCTGGTCATCCTAAGAAATAGCAATTTATTAGTTAACGGTGTTACACCTAAAGATTGCCTATTTCGCGGTCCGGTCTTATACAAACTCATTGTACAGGATACCCCTCACTCGCATGTCTCCACACGAACGACCTGGATCGAGTCGTCTGTAACCTTTACAGAGTGGGCCGTATCCATAGTGTTGCCAGGATAAGGTACCTAGCCTTATCCATATACTATAGACCCTTTAGGTTATTCACGGGATATTATCCATTCATATATCAGGGGTATATCAAATATATATGCCCCGTATATCAACTATATACCCAGTATACATACTGTCCCGATTACATCAAAAATAACTTTGGATGTTTAGTTTATTGGATTTTGGACAATGCAAAGCTATGATTCAACAACAAATTTATTGAATAAAAATTTATTAAATAGACATTTGTTTTTACAAAATACAAACTACGAGTTTAGGGCAACACACCCAACACCGTGCTCCTTGGGTAGCTGCCAGCAGCGTCGGGGTGGTTTTCGAGCGACTTTTCCTACTGTAAAAACGCAAACAGCTTAGATTCTTTGTGTTTGACGATTACCCACTTCCGTTCAAGGCCCAATTTACGCTACCCACGCCTATCCGAAACAGATCTAAGTCATTTACACCTAAACGTAGTCGATCTCGTGGTAACGGATTTTTGAAACCTCCTTGGAATGTTTTCTCCATGGGTGAAAATTGGAAATAACTTGCTGTTCTTCTTGTGTTTATGGTATAGGTGTTGAAAACACGCAAGGACTAGAAGCGTGGTAATATGTAAGTAGTAATAGGGGCGGGTGTGTGCGTTTATGAATTGTTGAAAATGTCTTTTGGTTATTGGGTTATCTAAAATGTATATTCCATGTCGTTATGATTACTAGATGTGTTAGTTTGGAATGATTTAATGAATGCTCTGAAATTGGCCATTCGTGCTAGCGTTACATTGTTGGAGTAGGTTAGATGAAATTGTTTAGTTTTCTTTTGTTAGATGTGTATTATAATTACCTGTTGAAAGGGTATGTTTAAAGACTATGCGAGTTGTATCTATTCTTATCACTTTTTGTAAAGCATGTTGAAAGTGTCTGCGAATGTTGCTATTTATCTTACAAGAGCCATTATGTGTGTGTTTCTGTATGATGTGAGCATGCTGCTGGTTTGTTAAATGTTGTGTTATGCGATCTTTATGCGTTAAAGGTTTGTTAAATGTTGTGTTATGCGATCTTTATGCGTTAAAATCATGCAGGACAACAATGGGTTGTGCTATGACATTGTAAAAAGTGTAATTAGGAGGCTAGTACAGGAAATCTTGGTTGGAGACGAGGGGTGGAGTGGAAGTTATGAATGAAGACACCGCGAGTGTCAGGGCCCCGGGTGCAAAGGTCGAGGACTGATATGGTACTACTGGGTGTCGAGGCTCCAGGTACAAAGGTTTGAGGTCGATACGCCAGTCTTAGTATGCATGAATGTCGAGGCCCCGGGTACAAAGGTCGGGGGTCGGCATGAAGAAACAAATCATTGGATCACCACTACTAGTTGGGTGTCGGGTTTCGGGTACAAAGGTCGGGGGTCGACACGCCAACTTGGTTAGAATGGGTTTCGAGACTCTGGGTACAAAGGTCGGAGATCGATACGTGAAGATGAGCGTCGAAGCCTTGGATACAAAGTCAAGGATCGAACGCTAAGTTATGTAAATGAGTATTGGGACCTTGGGTACAAAGGTCAAAGATTCGATACTAAGCGAAATGGGGTGACGAAGTTAGAAGGTGTTTGAGAATAGTCAAACACCTACGGGCTAAAAGATGTGGGTTGTGATAGTTTAACGCTCGTTGTATGTTGCCAACATTTACCACTTGTTGATTTCTTGAAATTCCAGTCAATATGTCGTTTTGAATATCATGTGATAGTATGCTGGTGCTGTATAGTTAGTGAGGGTTACTTACGGAGTATTTTATATACTCACCCCCTCTGTAATTATTGGTTTCAGGTAAGGATCCGAGTTATGACAATGGTGGTGACGTGGAGAGGGCTCGACTGAGGAAGGACCATTAGGCTACATTTTTTTATTGTTATTTCTCCTTATACTGTCAGGATAATAGAAGTTTTCCTTTTGTTTTGGACATTCTAGTAGAGCGATGTTTAGGTGTGGCCTTGGTGGCGTGGTCCGATGTGTCTTGACATTTTATTGCTTTTGAATCGATTTTTTTTAATTATTTAGTAATTTACGAGTATTGGCTATGAAATAAATAGGATTTTAGGTTTTGTTAGCCCACGGAGGGCGAGTTGACTTCTTTGATTATTGGAGAACTTTTGAACTTTTTAGACCATGTTGGCTTTCATTGTGTGTTTAAGGGAGGGTCGGTGCATGTAGTTGGGTAAAGTTACACCAAGTGTACTGTGGAAATTCAGGGGTGTTACAACAATAGCCCAAATTCGTTTAGTGCATTAATTTCTCGGGTAAATGCCTGCCGTTGCTTTAAGCTTTTTTCAGACTTAGCTCCAATGCTCTGGCGTCACCTTTGCTACCACAAAACATTAAAAATTAGAGTCTTTTCATAATATTCAACAACGTACAACACAAATGAAATTCTCCTTTGAATGATCCTATTATAGGCCTAGAACAGGCCTAGAACATTCGTGATTAGAGTTAGCTTGTTCATTTTTCTTAACTACCCAAAGCATTTTTCTTTAAAATAACTATCTTATGGAGAGTTATCACTCTCCAATTCTCATGCTCGTGAAAAATTTTAGTCTACCTTCTCCACTTTGTTCTTTGGTTCCAAAATCGAGATCCAAGTTAAAGAATCTCTATATGGGGATATTCGCAGAAAGAATTACCAATTTTTTAATTTATTTTAATTATTTTTAGAATTTCAAAAATAAAAAGTCTAATAAATATATTAATTACTTTTAGAATTGTTACTTACTAGTATAAATAATTAGCTTAAAAAAATATTTAGTATTTTATTCCCAATTTACTAAATACATTAATAAAATATATATTAATTATTTAAAAAATTGGATCAAGGACGAGGTTGGGACAAGCATTTACTATTTTTAGAGTGGGAACCCGACCCAGCAGAAATTTTTGTCATCTCTAATGTAGATACATGAAAATACAGATTTAGGGAGATGTAAATAAACTTTTTAAAGAGAAATTTTAGAGAGATAGAAAAAAAAATTTAGAAAAAAAATTAGTAAAAGAAAAGTTAAAGACAAAAAGAGAAAAATTTTAGGAAAAAATAAAAGTAAAATTGAAAGGAAAATATAGGTTAAAGAAAAAAAATTATAGTGAGAAAAAAGTTAGAAATAAAAACAATATTTGAAATATATTTTTAGAGAAAATAAATAAAGAAATAAAAATAATGAAAGAAAATTGAACGAGAAAAGAAGATATAATTTAAGAAGAAAATAGATTAGGATGAGAAAGAAAAGTTATGAAAAATAAAATTTTAGAGAGAAGTTTGGAAAAATATTAAAGTCTTAAAAGAAAAAAATGAGAGTCATCTTTTAGAAAATAAAAATAGGTAACAATGAAAATTTTAGAGGGTGAAAAATAATAATAAATATTTAAAATATTAAAACTTTAGAGATAGAAAAATAAATCTTTAAGAAAGAAATTTAGGGAGAAATTTATTTTTATAGTGAGAAAGAAATTTGCTAGAGATAATTATGCCAAAAAGAAAAAAAAAAGTTTAGTATTTAAAGAAAAAATGAAAATTTGAGAAGTAGAAATCTATTTTTAAAAACTATTTTTGTTTTTCCAAATTTAGATAGAATTTTAAAATTATTTTTTAAAAACTAAAAACAACAAACAAAAATGGAAGGTTCTCTTATTGATTAATTAATTTACTATGTGTAATTAATTGAAAACTTTGTATAAGATCGATTTAATTTAATTTTTTTTTGATATCATAACATCGATTTAAATGATTATTTTGTGTTTCAAAAAAGAAACATAAACTTATTATTAGGATCAATAAGTTATTATTTCTTCATCAAACATTTGAAATAAAACCCTAATATATATCGTAAAACCCTAATCCTTTATCCCCACTCAGCCGCCTCTCTCACACCCTCACCTCTCCCTCTCGATTTTTTCTTATCTCCCTCCGCCGGACCACTGACGCCGAACGCCAGCTCCCGCCGCCGTCGGTCTGTTCAGGTTCGATTCCGCCGCCTTCAAGTTCGATTTCCCCATTATATATAGATTGTAAATTTGCATAAATTCTCTGGGTTCCAGTTTCTTTTTTCAATTTAATCTTTCTTTCTGATTCGAGCTCACCGAGTTGGCATCAGTGCCAAATTTTGTTTATATTAATCATTTAAAGAGGTTGTCTTGCCTCTCATCTCAGAGCTCACCTCTCAGCCTCACTCTTACGCTTCACCCATCTCCTCTTTATTTCTGCAGTGGTAAAGCAGGTAGCAAAGTTATCTGTAGCGATAAAAGATGCCCAAGTCGAAGCGTGATAGACCAGGTCTGTTTCGATCAGTTTTCATATCTATGCATTGTTACCCTGCCGCTGAATACAAGTAAAGCAAGAAGTTGAATCTGTCGCACTTTATTCATGTGTGAAATTACCCTTATTATGTCGCTTATTTTCTATACGTTAAGAATTAATTTCTATCTCATATGGGTTTACTGTGTTGTAAACATAGAACACTAGCTCTTTGAGTGGATTTCGAAATTGAGTTGAAACTCCTAGTTCCCCCTCTGCCAATTCATTCCGTTTTTAGCAGTGTAGAAAGGGATTTACGAGGAACTAAATTATATATTGAGCCTTAAGCGACATTCATACAGCTTGCGTGAATGAAGCTTTAGGCTATTGTAAACCAGATGATGCTAGGAATTAATTTTTTTGACAATAAATCAGGAAATTTGTGTGAACATAGCTCAACAGTGGCTAAAAGTTTCTATTTATGTTGCAAAAATGTATGGTTGGTTACAGCTTGTGGCCTCAGATTATGTCATTCATAAAAGAATGAAGAATAGGGTTAGTAGGCCAGGAAATGCTTGTAAACAGTAACCAAATAAAAATAACAGTAAACCAAGGAAACATTGATAACTAGCTATGTTAATCCCTCTCCAACTTGAGGTTGTAGTGTAGGAACCACTTCAAGTTGTCCTTGAAAGAGTTGTAGTTGTTAGATGGTAGTTTCTTAGTTCTACTAATTGCTATCCGTCGTTAGATGACATGCAACTCATTTCAAGTTCCTTTTATATAATCTTGCCTCTTATGAAATGAAGTTCACTCTCAAGGTGCTTGGTTCACTAGGTTGCCTGCAAGTGCATCCGCACTTGTGTTGTTACATCATGTAATAGGACTTGAACCTAAAGCTATATACTTTTTGGTTTTCATAGGACAACCCCATAATCCTACAAAAGAGGGGAACTCTTAGGATTTTAATAACCTAGGTAGGTTGAACTTAGACCCTCAAGGTCGCTTCCAGTTTTCAGACGGTTTATGCAAGCTAAAGTTAAATCGTGAGTTAATATCTTTTCTGGCTTAATTTATTGACGCTTAAAGATGATGTTTGGTGGTACTGTTTAGGTTCTAAGATGATATTGATATCCCTTCACCAGCTAGAGAGGTTATCCACTAGTTCCTTCTAATGAGGTGGTCTCTCATATATATAGCACCTCTCCTGGTGGTTCAGATAAAGATTTCCTAATGAAATTTTCTCTCTTGCTCGATGTTGAGCTCCATAGTACTTTTCTAAGGCTCTTCAAATTTCTGGTAATGTGAAATGTGTTACTTCAGCAAATTATTCAAGAGTGAGGAATTTGTAGAGGCGTCCTAATAGGAGGAGTTCATTTGAGTACCACCCTATTGTGGCTTGGGTGGCTGTCTTGAACTAGGCAGAGTTGTATATAACCCTCAAGCTTGTTTCCTCTAATGGTAGGAGTGGCTGTAGTCTGCCCTACCAGATATTTTCAGCCTAGTTTGATGGAAGAAGCATTTTGGTTTAAGGTGTATCCAAGCAGTTGCTGAGGTGACAGTTTCTATTAATATGCAAAACGTGGAGTTGCTTACAACCTAGGGATCATGCTGACTAAAGTTATGGTGTTTATTACCTGAGATTAATTACATTTAGATAAGAATAAAAAATAGAGTTATGTGGCTAATGAATATTGTTAAACAGAGACCAAACAATATACCAGGAAGATTTAACAACTAGCTTTAACAGTAGAAAGATGTAAAAGTTTGTTCTTTTAATTCAAGGTTCTTGTTAAATTATGGGTCGTTTGTACGAGGTAATTTCTAGTCAAAGTTCTGTATGGGCTTGAGGCAATTTAAGAAATTAAAGGACTAGTGGTGGTAGTATTCAGTTTTAAACTTGTGTGGTGTCTTGAACTTTAAAGAAAGAGGAGGAATCTGAACAACTTAGTTCATTGCAGATTAGAGTTTTGACTAATTGGTTGGTGGGATTAAATGCAGTTACTTTATCGAAGACCAAGAAGAAAGGAAGAGAGCATAAGAAATCAATGGTGGATTTAATTAGGCAGGCTGTGGAAAATTACAACTCAATTTATGTTTTCACTGTTGAGAACATGAGAAACCTCAAGTTCAAGGAACTCAGGGAGCAGCTAAAGTCAACTAGCAGGCAAGTTGTGCTGTATTTTCTGTTTTTTTTTTTTTATAATTATATATTTGCTGCATCATTCCAAATATTTATTAGTGATGAAAATGTTACTTCCTTTATTTTTTTCATTGGCTTCTTGGAAGCACGAGGAAAGATGAAAATAATGAATAGCATGTTTTAGCAGGAAAGATGAAAACATGTGGTGTGGTTGCCTTTATGACTGAAGAATCTATTTTAGCAGGTTAATCGTAACAGCATTGCAGTATCACACACTTAATTAGTATTTGTTTCTATTGTTACAGAGGAACCTTCACCCCTTGTTTTAAAAAGTGTGTTTCAGTCAATAAAAGGGTTTATGACCTTCATCACCTTGTGCTTCGTGTGGTCTCACCTGGGGATGCAGCTTGTGTATATGTGGGCCCCTTTATAATATATTGTTCTCTCTATATTTTCCTTCATTAAGGCATCAGTGTTATGAAAATCATATTACCCGATCTTTGAAAATATTCTCTAGCTGTACGTTATTGTATTAGCTATTAGGCCTTTAATGCCTGTTTCCTTTTTAAAGAGGCCAGTCGGTCATAAATTTGGGATATTCTATTTGGGAAACTTGTTTCGTACAATTTATGTTTGGATAACGACATTGAGTGGCATCTTGAGATGTCATGCATGACTTGTCTATTTCTCTAATTAAATGATGCGGTTTGACCTGACTGAACAGTTTACAAAAGGTTCTTCAATTGATATATTTTTTTTGTGTACAGATTGTTTTTTGGAGCAAACAAAGTCATGCAAGTTTCTCTTGGCCGAACTGTTTCTGATGAAATTCGACCGGGCCTTCACAAGATTTCTAAGGTGAAACTCTTTTTCTGTGTTGTATTTAGTTCAAGTGTTCTTTTTGCTTTAGTAAGTAACATCCAATCTTCTACATTCTTTTAGCTTCTGCATGGAAATACTGGACTTTGTTTCACGAACTTACCAAAAGAAGAGGTTGAGAGGTAAATCAGACATGGTCTACTTTTTAAACATTGGCAAGCTCTGCTGAAAGTGATAATTTGTTAGGTTGCTAGTTGCTTTTTCAATTTAAATGCCTACTTAAAAGTTAATTCATTATTTATTCTATTTCTAGTTTAAACTGAAGAATAGGATAAATTGTGCTCAATAAATAACTGTGAATACAAAATTCTGAAACCTCATTTATGAAAGATGTGTTAATAAATGACAATTATCTTTGGCGTCAAGACGGCGCAAAAAAAAAAAAAGTTTTTTGCTTTGAGGTTGAACTCTATAAATCTTACAGAAATTTAAATTGGTATGTCGGTGTCTTCAGGTCAAAACAATAATTCCCAAATTAATAATATCACATGGTTATGACTATTGTTGTGTGGGAAATTCAATAGGAAGTCGTACAACCCGTTACTGGAACGTGAACGCAATTTTCATTTTTTAGTATGTCAAACAGCATAATGGAAAATGATGGGGGATATGCTTTGTGTTTAGAGTAATGCTCGAATTAGGTTGGTACTTTAATGTTGTGTTCTACAGGTTATTTAATGAGTATGAGGATTATGATTATGCAAGGACTGGAAGCACAGCCACAGAAAAGGTTTTGCCCCTTTGTACACATGATCTTCATGGGAGTTTGTTATAAAATTGATTGTGCAGTGATTCATTATTTAGATATCATTTGTGTTAATAATGAAATATGGATGAAATGAAGTTGAATTTGATTTGATATCATTTAGGTCGAGCTTAAGGAAGGTCCTCTAGAGCAGTTTAGCCATGAGATGGAGCCTTCTCTACGGAAGCTGGGGATGCCCGTTCGTTTGAACAAGGGTGAGAAAATGCGCTTTCTGCTTGCAAGCACCTGCACTACCTGTGGCTGTAATAAATAAAATGTTGGTCATAAATTAGAATTAATTGTTGAGGAATTGGAACTTGAATTGGTGCAGGTGTTGTGGAGCTTGTATCGGACTTTGTTGTTTGTGAAGAGGGCAAGGCTCTATCACCAGAGTCAGCAGGCATACTGGTTTGTAGCAATTTTAGGTGTTCTTGACCCTTTTTCAAAACACTAGTGCATTATTTCCAAGCATGCAAACATGAAAGTTTTTAGTGTGAAGTACTGAAAAGTGTGGCTTGTGAAATTTTGGTTGCAGCGTGCGTTGGGGATAAGGATGGCTAGTTTTCGCCTGAATTTGGTGTGTAGATGGAGCCCTGGGGACTTTCAACTTTACATCGAGGGACTCGATAATTCCGACGTTGAATCTGCCTAGATCTCCTAATTCATTTCATAGTTATAATATGATTTCTTTTTTCTTTTAAACGATTGTAGAAATTTTGCTCGAATCCTCCATTTTGTTGTCTTGGTTTAGTGAGGATGAACGAATGTAATTATGAGTTTGTAGATTTACATTTGTATTGCTATCCAATGGTTAGACTCTGTGTTCTTCAAAGATAAGATAATATTCTCTTTCTTTTTTAGTTTCCGGGTAGGTTTGAACACTGCTTTTTGGTTGAAATATTGAGCTTGGCTTATGTTGACTAATATAAGATGGTATTATTGTAAAAATGATAATTCCTCACATTGGTCTTTCCATTACATACTTGTGTATATTTTGGTATTCTAGACCACAACTACTTCGCATAATTTTGTTCTTATTGGAAGTATAATGTAAAATTGAATACAAACTTAGTAAGTTCTCCAATACTGTTGGCTAATCCCATATTGAAGTAATGCAATAATTACCGTGGTGCTCTTGGAGTTGTAAATGTAGTAGGTGTTTCGAATTTGCAAATATAGCAAAAATGAATAATTTGTCCAATTCAAATATGTTCATGAAAAGATTGAAATAGCCTTTTGAAGTGCTTGTCAGTATATGAGTGATACATTTTATATATATATATCATTGATAGATATCTATAATATTAATGTTGGTAGGCGTCTATTAGTAATATATCATTAGTGTATCGTCTATCAATGATATACATCTATTAGTAGTATATTATGAATGTCTATCGTATATCATTGATAGATGTAAATAAAAAATATACAAAGATTAAAAAAATGTGTGAAAATAAATATTCAAATCTCCCACCTACCTTAGGAATTAGCTTATATTATTTAGAACTATTATAGGGCTCATCTGGTAACCTTTTTGTTTCTTGTTTCTCATTTCCAATTTTTGAAAAACATAAGTATTTGGTAATTCTTCATATTTCTTATTTATCATCTTAAAGAATCGTTTCCAAGAAATCACAATTTTGAAAACAACTAAATCAAATTTCTTGTTTATTGTTCTTTTCAAAAGAATTCTTCTATCATTTTTTTACTTATAAATTCATAGTAAATATAACATAAAAATTTTGAATATTTAATTTGAAAGATTAATTTTCATATAAAACTTTCACTTTTTGTAATTTAAAATTTAAGATAACACGAAACAAGAAATGATTACCAAATATGTTTTTGTTTATTTTTTCAATAAAAAGGAAATATAGGTACATTACCAAATGAGTCATTAAATAAATACGAGATCAGTTATATAAATGTAAATTTCTAAAATATCTCTTACTAGTATCATCTTGATTTGTGCATTGATTTTCCATAAATCATACTTTTTTTAGTACATTGTGGAGGTGAGATTCGAACTCACGATCTTTTAGTTGGAGATAGATATCTTCATCAGTTGAATTATACTAAGGTTGGCTCATAAATCACATTTTTTCCATTTAATTTTTGAGGAAAAAGAAAAAAATAAATTCCATCAAACCCATGAATCAAGCTTCCACTTCTCTGGTGGCAGTTTTTTTTTTTGGGTTGTTTGTTTTTTCACTTTCACTCTCAATTTCTAGTATTAGTTTAGAGAGTTTTCTTTTTTCCCTTTTTTTTTCATTTGAAAGAGTGTTGACGATTATTTTTTTATCTTTTATTTGATGGTTATGTTGCAAAATATTATTTGTTATATTACTAGACAATTTTTTCCCTCTCCCCTTGAGATAGAGGAAATAGAGATATTAGTATAATGTATGAACTTTATAATTTTACATTTAACATAATGATATTAGTATATGGTCTATAATTTAATAGTTAATATTTTCTATGTCTATTTAAAGTTTTAATATAATGACAATTATTGTTTGGGTAATTAGAAAACCACGAATAAATAAAAGTGCTATTTCGAAAAAAAAAAGAATAAATAAAAGTGAAATCTAATTTGATTAATATTAACTTTATATATTAATAATATCCTAGTATGGTGAATAAATTTTAATAAAGCAAATGGTTTAGCGCTTGCTTTCTCATATTTATTTGTTATATTTTTCACTTTTTCTAAAAATAAAAAATTTAAGAAACACTTTTATTTCTAATTTAAAAAATTAACCTTACTAATCATAAATATCAAAATAAATTACACAAGGACACGTTATAAAAATATGGGAAAATACATTTCTGGTACTTGAGGTTTGAACTATGTTTCTATTTAGTCCTTGAAGTTTTAAAAGATAAACTTTTGATCCTTGAAATTTACAAAATGATTCTAAATGTTATTAAAGTGAGTTGACTTTACATCATGTTGAATGTACTCTTAAATGCTGATGTGACTTGATGACTTGTGAATTTCTTTATATATCATGTGACAAATGTGTAAATGAGTTGGAAAATTGGAAAACGTAAATTTTTAAAGTGGTAAAAGTTAAAATTAAAACTTAAAAAAAAAAAAGACAACGAAAAAACTAAACTTAAAATTAAAACTAAAAGAAAAGACAAAACTAACTCTGAAGATTTCTCCTCACGTATGACTCCTCAAATCCCTCCTTTCCTTTCATCTTTGCTTCTGCACTAAGGAAGTTATGATTCTGCTAACGTATGCCCCAAACTTTATTATTGGACCGAATTGTTGCAGCTTTTGCTCTAGCTTATTGCGATTGAACCTGGAACTTGCGACTGAGCCTAAAACCTTTGACTCTTCCTTTCTTAAATGTGAAGGTGACGATTGAACGCCAGGAGATGGGTTATTCGAAACATATTTGATTTGTTTTTCTTAGTGTTATATTTCCTTAAGAGTATTTAATATATTCTCATTCGTGGATTTGTTGTTGTTACTATCTTTTTTTCTAAATAACATTTAAATTGTAGAAGTTGAAATATCTTTTAATTCCCTCGTTATCGGCATCAAGATTAGCTTCAACTCTTTTTTTTTTTTTTTAGATATTCAAGCATAAGCTCGATTGTTTGCTTTGTTTTTTGTTTTGTCAGCTGTTTATTAGTTATTTTCTTGAATATGATAACTATATCGTGTTTAATCCACAATTTTTTTTCTAGCATGGATAGCGTCGATCTTATATTCCAATTTCCATTGTAACAGTCTTGTAGCAGAGAACTTTGACTATGTTGGGGGGATTCAAACCATGTTGAGTGTTGATTGAGATATGTTGTCAATTATTGAGTTGAATAATTTGACACAAGAGAACGTATTGAACATTAATAGCTATTGGTATCTTAAGCTTGGTCTAGAACTATCTTGTGGTTTAAATCTGCTCAATCATGATAACTAGATTCTATATATAGTAAACCAGATTCGCGAGAACAAGACGTTACATATCTATGTTAAACATAATCCAAATGAAGAGATAAAACTATTATGTCGGTATCCCACTTTCTCCTCTCAAGTATCTAGTGAAAGCTCTGTCGATTTACCTAAAGATGATATAGTTTCGGATGGGTCAAGTGAGTCGTCAACCATTGAAATGAATTTGTTTGGAGATTTAAATGATGGGATAGTAATTCAACTTATGTTTAATCTTCGAATTTGAAATCTCCATATCTATTTGAGAATGAGGAAGAGATGCATAGCTATCCTGTATTTAGGACAAAGACATTTGCAAGCTGTTGCATTTCAAGTAGGAATGTCTCATTTAGTACTAAGGAGGTACTGAAGGAAGCTATCAAAGAATCTGTTGTGAAAGATATTTATAGTGTAAAAATGATTAAGAATGGTAAAGTATGAGTGAAAGTTATTTGCATTGGTGGGTGTAGTTGGAAATTGCATTCCATAGTGATCCCTAGTGAGCTCACATTTCAAGTAAAAACATACTTTGGTGATCACACTTGTCATCCTGAGTTCCATAATAGAAATGTGAACTCTCTTCATGGGTAGCATATAAATTTTTAGTTCGATTTAAATCAAATCCTAACATGAAATTAAATGAGATTCAAGAACTTGTTAAAGTAGACTTTAGAGTTAACATTTCAAAAAGTCAATTAGCTAGAGTAAGGAGAAAGGCCACAAAAAGTTTTGAATGACTCACTAGTTGAGCAATATAGGAGTTTGCGAGATTATTGTGAAGAACTTATTCGGTCCAATGAGGAGAGTACAGTCAAGGTTGATAATGCGATAGGCTTGACGATGTGAGTGGCCCTATATTCATGACTATATACGTGCTTCAAAGCGTGGAAAGATGGATTTGTCTATTGTAGACTATTTATTTGTTTAGATGCATGTCACTTGAAGGATACATGTTAGGGCCAATTAATGTCTGCAATCGGAGTTAGACGACAACTCCATTTATCCAATTACTTGGGCTGTTGTGGAGGCAGAGACAAAGGATAGTTGGATTTGATTTCTGTAGTTGCTCAAGATGACGTCAGACCATTTCAGTCTAAAGAGATCACTTTCATATCAGACCAACAAAAGGTATTATATCATTTACTCTTTTAACTATATTGGCTATGTGTAATGTCTATATTTTTATGTTGTTTGTTAATTATGTGTTGTTTTAACAATTTTTAACAGGATTTAGTTCCAACATTCGATGATTTCTTTCCAAATGTGAACCAAAAATTTTGTGCTAGATATTTGTATGCTAACTTTCAAAAGATGTAAGGGATTACATCTTAAGAATTGTTTTTGGAATGCTTCAATAAATACCACAAGGAAATAATTTGATTGGTCAAAGCACTCTTTTGAAACCAAGCTTAAGTGTGATATAGTATTAGAATATTTTGTCTCGATGTTTTAACTCCCTTGTATTAGAAGTTATTGATAAGCCTATAATTCAAATGTTTGAAATAAAAGAAAAATGGTTACGACATAACTCACTAAGAAATTTACAGCATATTCTAGTCTTGAAGGGGAAATAGGAGCTAAGATTCGAAAGAATTTGGATGAAGCGAACCATGTCTCTAAAACTTGTATACCTAAATGATGTGGAGATATGTTATTTGAGGTTGAAGTCTGCAATGAACAATATAATGTTGACATAGATAATAAAAAATATAATTGTAGAAAGTGAGATTTGACTGGAATGCCCTAATGTTGTTCAATGCACACTATATTTGAAAAAACCGTCGGAAGAGTTAGTGCGTAACTGTCTGATCCAATCTATTTCTGCAGCAATGGCGGCAAGGGCTTTGTATTCAACCTCTGTAGAACTTCTGGAAACTGTTGTTTGTTTCTTGGCTCCCCATGAAATAGGATTACTCCCTCAGAAAACAACATACCTAGAGGTAGAACGCCAATCCAGTGAATCGCCAGCCCAGTCAGAGTCCCAATAAGCAAGAAGTCTTAGGGGATCAGAAGTACTTTTGCGAAATAATATGCCATGACGTTTAGCAGCCACCAAATGAGCTTCATGAGGACTATGCATAAATTGAAAGGGCTTGCTTATAGCAAAGGCAATATCCAGCCGGCTGAAAGTAAGATAATGAAGAGCACCTGTAAGAGCTCTATAATTTCGAGAATCATCAGTAGAGCAAAGGATCCTCGAATCAGTAGAAGAGACTAAAGCCAAAGGTGTAGAGCAAGACTTTGCACTGGTCATACCAAAACGATGAAGCACATCTTTAGTATACTTGGATTGATGCACAAACAGGCCATTAACAGTAGAAGAGATCTCCAAACCAAGGAAGTACTTTAAAGATTCCATATCAGTCATATCAAAACAGCATTGCAGCTAGGAAATGAGATCAGAAACGTAAGATGAATGAGGACCAGTGCCAATAATGTCATCAACGTATAACAATAGGTAAGTCATCAAACCATTAGCCTTGCGAACAAATAGAGACGAATCAGCTTGAGAAGCCTCAAAACCAAGTGTTAACAAGTAGGAGGTAAAACATTCAAACCAAGCACGAGGTGCTTGTTTAAGTCCATATAATGATTTGATGAGTTTGAAAACCAAGGTGGGTCGAAGGGGATCAACAAATCCTTGTGGCTGCTGCATGTATACCTCTTCTTGCAATTCTTCATGTAAGAATGCATTTTTAACATCAAGTTGGCGTAAAGACCAGCCATATTGAGCTGCCAAAGAAAGGATAATACGGACAGTTGGCTTTTTAACGATAGGGCTAAATGTTTCATCATAGTCAATGCCCTCTTCTTGATGGTAACCCTTAGCTACAAGACGTGCCTTGTACCGAGCAACACTACCATCAGGATGTCTCTTAATCCTATAAACCCATTTACACCCAATAGCCTTTTTATCAGCGGGCAACTCAGTCAAACACCAAGTATTTTGTTGGAATAAGGCTTGAAACTCTTCAGACATAGCTTGACACCAAACAGGAATTGTAAAGGCCTTGGTAAAAGAAGATGGTTCATCAGTAGTATCAGAAAAAGAGCTAACAGCAACCATAAACAATTTCTTCTTTGAAATCCCTGACTTACTCCGTGTTTGCATGCTATGAACATTCTAAGAAGCAATAGGGGCAACAATAGGCTCAGACATAACATGTAGAGAACTAGTAGGAGGTGCAGTAGTATTAGAACTAATATCAGGAGCATGTGGTGCAAGCTGAGATTCAAGTCCAGACTCAGGAACATCCGGGTAAGAATGAGGAACAGTGTAAAAAGGAGGAGGTAGAATCGAAAACAACAAAGCAATTATTTCAACACATAATTGGTGAACGGAAAGAAGATTAGATGAAATAGTTGGAACATGAAGAAGGTTGCAAAGTTTTAGAGAAGAGGTAGAGGTATGAAGAATACCACTGCCTATGTGGGCAATTGGCAATGACTGACCACTACCTACTCCAATCTGTTCATCACCCGAATATTTAGAAGCAGTACTAAGTTAGCCCAAATATGCAGTGACATGAGCATTGCACCCTGAATCAGTAAGCCACGAGGGATTAGAGGATGCAAGAGTGGCATAGTTGTGATTAGCCACCATTACTGCCAACTGAACAAGAGGATGATGCCCTTGGAAGCTGTAATTCATTATATTAAAGCAATCCAATGTAGAGTGACCAGTTTTCAGGCAAATCTGACAAACAATCCTTGAAGAGAAACCTTCTTGAGATGATTTGCCAGTAGGAGCAAGAGGGAGAAGACCTCGACCTCGTCCAACATTAGTAGAATAATTGCCAGTCGGAGCAAAATTAGGAGATTTCGTCTTAGAAAAGCGATTCTTACCAAAAGCACGACCACGTCCCACATTGGGATTGAAATTCTAATTCCAAGAGGTCATAGAACTTGCAGCCAATAGAGCAGTAGGAGAAGCGAAAACTTCATCACGTTTATTCTGCTTTTCAGTAGCTGCTTCTTCTGAGACGAGTAACACATGAAGATCTTCAAAACTCACAGACTTCTCACGAGTACGCATCGATGTTCGAAAAGTGTTATAGTCAGCAGTGAGGCCGTTTAGAGCATAGATGACAAGGTCTTAATCGTCAATCAGGACAGAAACATTCGCAAGTTTGTCCTTGAATTCTTTGATGCGCTGAATATATTGATCAATGGACTCCGACGGCTTCTTGACAACTGATTATAAATTAGATTTTAGATTTACAACATTCGTTCAAGAGTTGGATGAGTAATGCTTCACCAAACGTATCCCAAACTTCCTTAGAAGTCTCACAACCAACAACGTAGGCTAGAGCAGCCAGTGAAAGTGTGGCGTTAATCACAGTCATAAGAGCGTGGTCTTTCACAATCCAGTCTTCAAACGCCGGATTCAATTGAGGAACATCTGTCGGAGTAACAGAAGAGATGACTTCACATCAGAACCATCAACAAAGCCAAAAAGGTTATGTGCCTTCAGGATAAACGTCAATTGAAACTTCCACAGTGAAGGGATGTGAATCCCGGAGCGGAAGCGGATCTTTGTTGCTGATTTTCGGGATACAAAACCGAAATTGAAAGGAGGAAATATAGGGGAAAAATCAAACCTTTGAAGAACGTTTCTTCGGTAAGTTCCCCTCGAACACCAGCACCGGATCTTCCTCGCTATCCTCTTGGGTCTCAGGATCGTGCTTGTGGTAGCACCTTGATAGAAGAGAGGGAGAGATTGAGAGAATTTTGAGAGAATTGGTGGGAGTTTTCTTTTCTGTGTTCTGTTCTGTTTTCTCCAACCCTTGAAGAAGAAAAACAATGACGTGGGGTAACTCCCCACGTCACAGCAACCTCCCACTCCCCTGCAATATTGTAGAAGAGTTTAATATTATTATTATTATTAAGAATAATAATATATAATATATATATATATAAATATATATATTGTTGGATCGGTATGACAACCCTAGAGGGGGGTGAATATGGTTTAATTAACAAAATATAAACTTTTTAATAAATGAGC